TCAATATCAATATTAATTGTAAGAATACAAGCCACAAAGTTACAGTCCTGCAGTCATAAGTGTGAGAAGATGGGTGATAGGAACAATGAGGAGATTAATAGTAATAGTAATGCAGACTTAGTAAATAGTTTGACAGTGTTGAGGGAATTATTTGTTTAGTAGAGTGATGGCGTTCAGGAGGAAACTGTTCTTGTGTCTAGTTGTTCTGGTGTGCAGTGCTGTATAGCATCATTTTGAGGGTAGTTGAAACAATTTATGTCCAGGATGTGAGGAGTCTGTAAATATTTTCCCGGCCCTCTTTTTCACCTTTTGATTTTGACCTGAAATTTTGATTTCCATTCCGAGAAATGCAGAAAAAAAACCCTGACCTGTGTTTTTTCCCCCCTCTTCCTTCAGGAGTACAATGTGGCATAAATGCAGAAGTAGAAAAACAGCTTGAATTGGGGAAAAAGCTGCTGGCAGCTGGGCAGCTGGCAGATGCTCTGACGCATTTCCATGCTGCCATAGGTATGTACCTTAAGACTGCTGAGCTTCCCTTCTAAGCATATGGTTTTTCCTCCCTCTGGCCAAGATAATGTGCATGAGATTGAAATTAGGGGTTGAGAAATTTACTCTTGGTGAGAATTCTAATTGCTGAATGAATGTTTTTATACTTGGTTCACAGGTCCAAAATATTCTAACTTCTCAAACAGGATTTAAGTGAAAAGGCTGGTATGTTTCTACCAGGTACATGTTAAAGTCTTATTAGCAGGGATGGCAAAAAAGATGTCCCATTACTGATCCGTTATTTGGTCTTCCACAAGAGAAAGATGTAGAATCTAAAAACCAAATTGTAAAATAATTTTCCACACATGTGAGTCTGTAGTGAGAGATTAGAAGCTATAGCACATTGGGGCTCCACTTCCTTAAATACCCACTTCTGTAAAGCCTTTAAAAGCAGACTGGGATTGGATAGGTGTTCTATGCATACTGCTGTTAAAATTTCATTACAGTGCCTACATTGCTGGAAATATTCCTTCCTTGAGTTATACGCAATGTCTCTCTCTCTCTCACACACACACACATTAATTGTATTCCTCCTTATTGCTTGCTGCTCCCTTCTCTCCAAAGCTTTGCTGACTTAAGGCTATGTTCTGATTGCTACTTTATTTTTCCTTGCAGAAGGAGACTCAGATAACTACCTTGCTTATTACCGAAGAGCCACAGTATATCTAGCCATGGGCAAATCAAAAGCTGCCATTCGTGATTTAAGCAGGGTAGTTGAATTAAAGAAGGATTTCACATCGGTAAGCAGTACTCTCTAAAGATTCCTTGGGGTGGCTGGAAATGGCTTTTGGTCTTCATTTTTCTATTGCCTTTTAAAGGGGAGCCTGTTCCTTTTCTTTTTTTTAGTAAGTGTTGTAATCTAACAGGGAACTTCAATTATTATCATACAACTTGGGGAGATTAAATATAGGCTGAAATTCTAGCTGGGGAGACAGGATTTTCATAGTACTAATTCAGCATGTGAATTTGCTCTGATTACTTTGGGGAGTATTAATACCCTTGAAGATTGGGGGATGAAGTTTTTGGCATAGCTACAAATTGCTGAAAGTATGTGCAGAGGGATTCTTAAGTCCTTTTTAGATTCTTAAGTAGCCTTTCCTCATTATAATGTGATATACAACAGCACTATATATCCTGATGCCATTATATCAACCATAATTATAATATTTCTAGAGCTTGCAAGGTGTATATTTTTAAAAAGGTAATGCTGGTCTATATTTTGAATAAACACCTTTTAAAAGTTCTGGAGATATTGCATTTTATATCAATATTTAGTAATTTCGTTGCTGAGAGTTATATTTTTAGATTTGGATCTTATCTAAGATTCAAATTGTAATCCTGATTTTTTTTCAGAATAGCATACAATAATTCAACTTTGTCTTCTGTTGAAACTAAAGCAGATTCTATCATCACAAACATAGTCATTTTTGTGTGCATGTGTTTTAAACAATCAGAACAGTGGCTATAATGCAAGAAATATAATGAAGCAAAACTTCGATCATGCAGCTGCCATATTGACTTTTGTGACTTCTTCAATGTCCAACCAGAAGTATTTTTTTTCCTCTCAACAGTAATCATTTTGACATTTATTTTCTTTCAATAAGGCTATAATTTCAGGGAATTTCAAAGTAATCATATACACGATGCATTCACTTGAAAATCCTGTCAGTTTAAAAGAAAATGATTAAATTGTGCCTGCATTTACACCGATACCCTTTTGATTTTGATATAATGATGTTATAGGTTAAATATTTAATGTTGGTAAGCCACCCAGAGTTACTTGTACGCAGGATGGGCTGCAAATGAGTGTAATAAATACTTTTAAATATTATTGCTAAAATATATAACTAGAAAGTGTAGAAGCCATGGACATTATGAATCAGAGAAGGTAAGATGATATCTAAAATCTCCAGGATTTTACTTAATGTAATTTATGTAGAATGTACTTTTTTGCTTATCCCAAATTTCCATTTATAGTATTAATTTCTAAGGAGCTACACCAACCTGTCTATTTGTCCCTCATATCCTATGAGTTACTGAAGGCAGGAAGATGTGGACCATTTATAGGCCTCCTTTAAGAGTATTGCTTTAGATTTCCCCAGTATTAATCAGGCATTCTAATCACAGTGGTTCTTTTTCTATTCCATTTTTTAGGCACGACTACAAAGAGGCCATCTTCTGCTTAAGCAGGGAAAGTTGGATGAAGCTGTAGAAGATTTTGAAGGCGTGGTAAGTGAAGTGGTCTCTCAAGGCATAATTGAAGTAGCAGCTGTGATTAAAGAATATTGAGCATTGCATATATATATATATATATATATATATATATATATATATATATATATATATATATATATATATATATATG